AATGTTCAGGCCTCTTTTACAACCCAACGTGTGATAGAGGATGTTCAGGCCTCTTTTACAACCCGTCTGTTGCATGACCTTTATCTGGAACGATCTTTGGCAAGAGTTAATAAACGATGAATGACACATTATACATCATAATAGTTCATTAGTACACAACCCATGAAACACAAACGGAGTATAAATAAAATATTTCTAACACTGACTGGAACAATGGCAGGGCTAACGAGCTGACAAGGAGCAGGTGTGAGGAGACAACGAGGGAGCCAAGGGGAAAGGAACACACACAAGAGGGCAACAGAGGAAAACAACAGAAAAACCTGAGAACTAACATAAATCTAGAAACTACAACAAAATAGGAATTAAACCAATAAAACTAGGACACATAGTGCAAAGTAAAGGATAACAGAACCAAAACCATGACAGTCGAACTGTCGCAAACCCACACAGACCTCAAGCGGAAGTGCGCAGACCAAAAGCAACTTTGACTGGTCCTTGGTATGAATCTCTGTCTGTGTGGTTGTCCTTCTCGATTCGGTGCAATCTGCCAAAGTTCCCGCAAGTTCTCAAATAGGCGCCTTCTTGCGCTTTGGCGGGAAACTGCTGTGCGTCCCTAGAAATTCCAGACCAACAGTGCAGACGCATACTAGCAAAACTGGTTCTCGACCAGACCCAAGAGACATATGATGTGTGCTGTTGCAGAAGTATAATCTGCCCTGCAGGGGGGATGCCACTGTGTGGCGCCCGGGGAGCAAAAAGGGGACAAAGGCCAAATTATGCTTCTGATGCATAGCATAGCACCCTCTTGCGCTTTGGCAGGAAACTGCTGTGTGTCCCTAGAAATTCCAGACCAACGGTGCAGACGCATACTAGCAAAACTGGTTCGCGACCAGACCCAAGAGACATATGATGTGTGCTGTTGCAGAAGTATAATCTGCCCTGCAGGGGTGATGCCACTGTGTGGCGCCCGGGGAGCAAAAAGGGGACAAAGGCCAAATTATGCTTCTGATGCATAGCATAGCACCCTCTTGCGCTTTGGCAGGAAACTGCTGTGTGTCCCTAGAAATTCCAGACCAACGGTGCAGACGCATACTAGCAAAACTGGTTCGCGACCAGACCCAAGAGACATATGATGTGTGCTGTTGCAGAAGTATAATCTGCCCTGCAGGGGGGATGCCACTGTGTGGCGCCCGGGGAGCAAAAAGGGGACAAAGGCCAAATTATGCTTCTGACGCATAGCCTCTGCAACCGGGTTAAGGGTTTTGCTTAGGAACCCAGAGTGGAGGGAGTGGGGATTGAACTTGGTACTTGCAAACTTACTTCCAACCTTACTTGTGGATTTTCCCTGCACTTTGGTTAGAATTCAATATATTGCCCTCCCTTATTTTATTGGCTCCACAATTGTATGTAATCTTTAATTTAAGGAAGTTTTGGAACTATCAACAAATGATATAATGCAAATATTTTACAATATAGGGCTTACGATATTATTTCTAACATTAAGGGGGAACTTTGCAGGATAACCACCCATCTCAGCTAAATTAGTATATTTTACACTTTAAAGTCTGACAAAACAGTAAATTTGCTTCACTATGTATACATCTTTGCTTGTTACTGATTTTTATTTATTTTCACATAATATTTCACAATTATGTGTGACATTTCTTTTGCTTTGCAGGGAAAAAATGCCATTCCATCATGTGCGGGCAGGCCTGCTCTATCCGGATAACTACCTGAGCAGCTCCCTGACTGAGGGCAGCGAAGCCTTCCAGCTCACCAGCCTCTCCACTGAGGAGCTGGGAGGTGAGTGTCCCAACCCTGCAGAGAGAGGCGCAAGGAGGAATGTGTGGATGCAGAACAAAGTGTGAGGTACAGACAATTAATGGGCCGTTGGTGGAACAATGCCGTTACAACGCTCCAATTCTCTAGAGGTGAAGATTTTCCATTTAGCCATTCTGTCAGAGCTTGACTGGATGCATTGGTTTCCAATTATGGAGCTTAGGAAATAAAATCAGTCAGACAACTCAGAAGGAAGTGGAGCTTGACAGCAGAGTAGTGTATCTATAGTCGTACCCTAATTAGCTCCCCATTCATATTTTATCTTGCATGAAAATTGATGTTACCAGTCCCCCCCAAATTTGGTTTGATGTAGTAAGTGTGAACATAAATAATCAAAGCTAAAGTGGAGCCATTTTCTCTGTACTTAACCAAGCAAAAAAAGACTTCCTGGGCTTTATTTCTTAAGGTTCTGGCCATTCCCTACAATCAGTCATGGTGACATTAAACCTAACAAAGCAAATTTTGATTCACTGCGGAGCTCAGCAGCCTTTCTCTTAAATTGGGTCAAATGGTGAAACAAACATTAGCAAGCTCACAAGCAGGCTGCAAACAAATCTTAAGATTTGCTAAAAAAAAAAAATGAAAGAAAGAAAACAAAGCTGGAGAGGAAAACTTAAAGATCAGTCAGGATATAAACATCCTCTGTGGAAAGAAGATGGGCTCTCTGGTTCAGCTTTGATTACCACATCCTGCAGGGATTGATTGGCCTCACAGTTTGACTTCTGGAGCATTAAATACAACAACACTATTACTCTGAAGTTCAGTGTTAATATCACATAAAGTTTTGGCTGTTGTGAAGACTTTATTAACTTCAAGTATTTTCTAGGCAACCACCTTGATACCATGATAAATAGTTATAATAGAGGGTCAGAGGAACAAAATAACTAAAGCAAACGGTAGTTTGTCTTGATATTACCTTCAGTTGGAGATGCACGGTTCATTCTGTGCTTTCTTTTCAAAGCAAAAACTTCCAGCATGCAATGAGCACATGCCCTGTTTTTGCAAGGGGGTTGCTTAAACAGCTAATCCTTCCATAGTGTGAGGACTGAGCATGAAAGTGTGTCTAGAAGTCTGACTGCTTGTTGTTTGTGTTTATACATGAGGCGCTGCTGCAGTTTGAATGAATGCTCTCTGCGCTTTGCTATGAAGTATTTTGTTGTACAAATCTTTTAATCCATTTTCCCTGTTGCATGGATTGACTCAGCCCAGTTCACAAAGACAGTTATTGTGCACCAAAAACTGAGCTTCTGCACTGACTCAAATATGTCATTATGAATGGTCTGTTTCAGGGGACCCGGATCGCTGCAGATCTTCTATAAACTCTTATTGTACATTTTTCTCCATTTCTGTCATCATGTAAAATTTAAAATTCTCAATGTGTTTAAACCAGCACTGTGTGCTGCATAACATGAGGTAAAAGGAAATTAGTACAGTCCTCTCAACATTTTTAAATAAAACATTGAAAAGTACAAAGTGTTTTTTTTCAGCGCTGTGAATCACTATTTTTTAGTTCACCCTTTGCTGAAATTACACCTAGAATTGTTTTGAAATACATATTTACAAGTTGCGCACATTTATAGATTGAAATTTATGCCAATTTCTAATGCAAAATAGCTCATAGTTTTGTCAGATTGAATGGAATATGTTTTTTTTTTTACAACTCCTATCACAGATGGTAGATTGCTTTAGTTAAGAAGTTGGTTAAGATCTCTATATTTATGGTTGTGGCAGGGCTCTAAGTGAAACATGAGTCCCAGTTTTAAATCTGTAAACATGATTGCTTGTCTAGGACTGATTAACCTATCTGTTCCTGCTGCAAAATATCCACAGCATTACGTTGCCCCCAGCATGTTTACAGCATGTTTATTGTTCCCTTACACAAGTCTCCTGTCTTTGTGGAACTGCTCTACTTACTCTTTAGGCTTCCATGAGTGACAGTTCATAAGTGATTTTGGTTAGAGTCCATCATTGCATCATATAATGTTACTTTTTGGACTCCTTGCTATGATGATGCCACACACACTGACATGATACTCAGAAATTATGGAAAACAAACATAATTGTGTAGATTGCAGCCAACCTGAGAGAGCTCCAGAAGACATGCACAAACAGATAAAAGGGCATTAGCTTCTATTAAACGTTGTATATTGCATGTCGATCATAAAGTATAACTTTGGTCTCATCTTACCAGAGCCAATTGGTTCACACGCCTCTAGTATATATCAAATTATTTATTGCAATGTTACATTCAACTCTAGGCTTGCCACTGCCCCATAAAGGTTTTTATATTATTTATTTTCTTTTTACAGGTTCACCACCTTTAAATTACAGACAGCCGGACTCTGGTTACTGTACCATTGATAACTTCTGAAGACAATTAGTTGTGTTGGATTTTATACAGCAGAATAAAAAAAAACAAAAACAAAAACTTGCAATGCAACTTCACATTTATGTAAAACCTTTTGGCTGTGCACCTCACATGAAATGCATTACAAGTAGAGGTTGTGAAGAGCAAAATGTGGAAAACAAGATGAATAGGTTTTTGTAAGGGGCTGTATTAACTGAACCAGTCTCTTAACATCTAAGGTAAAGCTACAGTGAGCCAGAGATCCTTTGTATACAGCATGGTTGTTTGATGTAGACAGAAAGTATAATCAGCTAAGATACTTATTAAGGAGTAATTAAAAAATGGTTGTCTAAACAGAAAATTCTACATGCAATTAAGTGGCAAGTGATCTACTTAGAATGTATGTGTAATTGATAACAGATGCAAAACTGGTACAGTCTGCCCTATTAAAATAAAAATTTTCCATGTGTTAATGGAAATTTGATGGGGAAGATAGGCTTTGATAGAAAGATTAAGTTCACAGCTAGGGACAAAAAGTAAAAATAATAAAAATAACAAAAATGGAATTATAAAAATGATAATGTATTGTTTGTTTATGTGCTTTCAGGCAAGCATAAGACATAGATTAGCAATTCGAGCTTTCATGGATGGATGATAAAAATGTTTTTTTTTTCCCACTTTAATGCCTCTTTAAATTTCCTCTTTCTCATTTTCTGGCTGCTGTCAGTACTTTTGGTTATTTGTTTATAAATCACAGCGATAATATTTAAATGCAGTCATTTTGTTTATTATTTTGGTTAAATTGCAAAAGAATGCCTGCAGTCCCACAGCATCACTCTATGCTATGCTGTTTTCCTCCCACCCCCTACTAATACTATTTTAATATTAATTTTGCCAGTCCAATGTTCACATTAAACTCTCCCCGCCACTCCGTCATTATACAAATGCCTCTTTCCCACAATGGCCACAGACATCTTAGGTTATTAATTTGTAACTGCTTTACAGATTGATAATAATCATTTATGCAAAACCTGCACCTTCAATTTATTTCAGTGTTGATAAATCAAATTGTAGATGGAAAGCATTTCATATTTACATATCCTTCTACCAGTATTTTGAACACTAGGGTGATAAGCATATGTTTTGTACATGCACTGGCTGCTTTTCTACTAACTTTTGTCAACTGAATTTGCACCTGTTAGTAGGTCAGCTTTGCTGACGCTGCCAAGCTTGCATGTGTTTTATATAAGCAAACCTTGAGCTGATCAGGGCCAAAATGGCTGGAAGCTGTTGCCTGCTTTAGAAAGCCTCTAATCCCACTTCAGAAGATTCAGAAGACCCTTGCAGGTTTATCTGTTTGCGTAGAAAGATAAATTGTTAATCACCAGTCGAACGAACTGCCTCAAACCTTCTATGTAGTTTTAAAGCATTTTGATTTTCAGTATGTGAACATGTACCATAACCTGAGGACTATCTTTGTAACACACAACCATTGACAGATGCTGCAGTCTCTCCTGATCTCACAAACACGCACATGCACACACACATTGAGCAGCAATGCATCAGGGACCAGCTCATTTGTACCCTATTGAAAACGTGGTCCTCACTGTTGGACTGAATACAAATGGGTCTGACTGTGTTCTGGGAGGCTGCATACCCTCATTCACAGTGGCTCGCCTTGCCTTTGATTCTACCTTCTTGGAGAAAGCCAAAAAATGAGAGGTGGACACTCAGAGGACACGTCCAGTTATGAGTTGTGAGGAATGTTTACAGGCTTAGGTGGTGGCTGCGACTGAAAATCAGCTTTCATTTTATCTTTTATCTAACACAGAGAAAATAGAGACAAGGCAGGAAGAGCTAACCTGGAAAAAGAGCACAGAATCAAGACAAGCATGTTATAAATACATCCCATAAGAGAGTAACTGTAAAAATGATAGACAGACAGACAGATTATCAATGTTCATAGTGCTTGACATGATAACAAGCTGTTGCAGGCTTTTTGTGAGAAATTCCTCGCTGCTCTAAATATTTCTGCTGCACATCAAACACATTCCCTTTTTAGTTCTGTGCATTTAATCACAACTCCTTGTTGGTAAGAATCCTTTTTATGCGTGGGAACACAGAATCGCTATTGGTAGAAATGCTGCTGATTTGCTTTGTGGAGCCCCCACAGGGTTTGTACGATATGGCGAGTATGAAAAGATGCATTACAAGAAAGGGAACTTATACAGGCATCGGGGTAGAGAGAGAGTAAAGGAGAGAGGGAGTTGACTCTCACCTTGATTTGTCAGTGAGAAAAGCTCCTACACTTATAGTTAATCAAGAAGCCTCTTATCAACTCTGGGAAAGCACCTTTTAGCTCCTTAAAGACTCGCTAAAATCCATTAATCACTAATTACACCTCTTGGATTAGACTGTCTTAGTGACACTATCAGATAACACATTATAGCTCTGAATTAAGTGTTATAAGTTTTTTAGTAAAAACACACCAGTAGAATAAAGTTATACCAAATCTTAAACAGTGCTGTCATGGAACGATGGTTTGGGATTGTTTGTCATGATTTTCTTAAGGGATCTGACCCACATGCAGTAAACCACTCAGAGAACCAGGGTAAAACTTTGAAAAGGTTTATTGATGAAACCAGCGGGGTAGGACTCAGGAAACACAGTGAACTGGTGAACCAGAACTGGAAGAGGGAAGGGAAGTAACAGTGGTTAGTTCAGGATCCGTGGGAACTTTGAATGACGACTTGGAGAGACAGAGAAAACTGGACTCACGTTAGTGGGAAAAACTTTTCTCCCAGAATCCAGTCGGTTGGGTTTTTCCAGAGTTTGATACTCATTGGAGGGCGGACAGGTATAGACTAAGTTGGACCCAGAGGAGTTATTGAGGGAACTGTCACTTGGGAATCCAGGAGGACTTGAACGGAGCTTGTGTTGTTAAATCCCCTGCTCAGTGTGAGACTCAAACAATCCTTCCAGGGGGAGAAGGCCACATATCAAGCTTGCAGGAAGGCTTCCTGCCGAACAGGTAAAGACAAAAAAGGTTAGGCTCAGCGAAAAAACAAAGACAAGTTAGACTCAGCAAAACTCAGCTTGGCTAGAGTACCCAAAACTGGCAAACACTCTGGCGCCGGGGTAGTGACAGTCCATGGCTCAAATAGTCCTCAGTGATTAGTCAACCAGCCGCAGGTGTGCGAGAGAACCAACGAGGACAGGGCACCACCTGGTGGTGGAGGGAGAGAAGACACAAAAAACACAACCCACACAATCTGGATTCCTAACATTGTTTTCCAGCTTCATTATTAGAGTACCTTAAAACTATTCAGTCTACCATGAACCCTTCTGCAGCCAAATATCTGACAGCTCCCCAGAAAGACATATTACATGACTAAGAAACTCTGTGTAAAGAACTCTTGTTGGATTGAAGTCTGACTGGTTTATCAGGCTTGCTCGTCTAAATTAAGTTTCAACACATTTTTAAGCTATAGTTCTGATTTGTATTATCTATTGTTAGTTTAGTGTATGGCTCAAAAACAGTTAACAGCAATAATTGTGATGAATCGATTATTGAAATAATCGTTAACCAATTTAATAGTTGATTATTTGTTAACTGTAGTATAGACTCTAAAACATGCCTTTAGTGGAAAGGGCAACCCACTTGGAGCAGTAATTGTATCAAAATCGTAAAAAAAATTTATTGATCTTTTGCATTTAAGATTAAAAAACTTTTTCTTCTGTCAATATGCTCTATCCAGAACTTCTCAAGTTGAAAAGTTTTAGTTTCACCTTGTTTAATTTTATAAAAAGTCTGCTTTAAGGAACATTTGGCTATTTGATTATGAATCGATTAATTGAAAAAATAAATGACATATCAATCATTTTGCAAAATAATCGTTAGTTGCAGCTCTAATTTAGTGAAAGGGAGGTTTGGCAAAAAGAGTTTAATTCCTTTAATACCAAGCCAGAAAAGAACAACACAAAAAGCTATTCTGTTTTTCCTGTTGTTTGTTATTGTCCTAAATCAGTCTTAGGGCATTAGTTCTCATATGTGGCTGGAAGGCGGCTGCTCCTGACGTTGGATTCAGAAAAGGGTACAGTTGAGAACCCAAATAAAATTATTTCCAGAATTTCAGAATCAGAAATACTTTAATAATCCCAGAGGTAAATTACTTTTGTTACACGCTTCAGTTACAGTT